AACAAGTCATTTGGGTTAAAGACTCTGTCTTTTTCTATTCATTACTTCACCTCTTTTAATAGTATTATTTAATAGTATTATATTATACCAGTATAGTATACTCGTATAGTATTATTTAATAAATTCAATGGTATAACACAAATGTACAAACTGACAGACGGCGCAGGTGGAAGTTTGGTCGAGGTTTTGGGTATTATCCAGTCAACAAAGAGTGCTTGAAAAATGAAAGGCTCGTGTCCTTGGAATATGACATAGAGTTTACCGACTTGATGAGTACTTGCTATCTTAGCACAAGCCTCCCTTGCATTCTTTGATGTTTTTGAACCGCACCAAAGAAAGGTGTTAAATCCAGTTCTGACAAGAAAGGAATGTAAGCCGGTTAATGCAGTCTTCTTTAATTCTCCGGATCCACAGGGAATCATTGTCACTGTCTTCTCTTCATAACAGAGACGATCGTTCTGCGGATTGACTGTCAGTGGTTCGAAAGGGAATTTTCCCCCTATTGCATTCAGAAAGTCAACACTTTCTTCGTTTTCATCTTCGATTTGAATTGAATACCCAACTTTGTGATACAATTTGTATTGCACGGAATAATCTGCACACTTTCCTTTCATTATCAAACTCGTTTTCTTGCCACGCCACACATACAGTTTCTTCGTCGTGTCTTCTGCTAATACCGCGCCTATTGAACTGTTCAATGATTTGTATGAGACGGGGACTTCGATTAAAATAATGTTCTTTTCAGAGGCGATAGGAGTCACAAGAAGTAGTGTAGAGCTTGTAGGAACAACAGTAATTCGTTTGAGTTGATGATTAGTTGTTTTAAGTTCTTGAGTCACTTTCAAAAGGTTTTCATGGCTTTGACGTGACACCCCAACAAGCTCCTCTTTGTTTGGAGGTGATGGAAATTCACTCTTTTCGGTGGTTGCGACGGCAATAAATTTACGTGAAGAACTCCGTAAAATTGATGGGTTTTTTGTGATGCCGTTAAAAATAGGGTATTGCTTCATTGGAAGTAGTTCAGTCTTTTTGTGTGTAGTTAGTCGCTTCTGTTGCTCGTTAAGTTCGAATGTTAATCGTCGACTTAAACGCTCAGTCTTGCGGCGAATCAATTCATTTTTAACGGGATGTCCCTTTGTAGGTGTTAGCTCTGGTGTCTTAACAGATAAAGAAGAAACAATTTGAGTCTCTTGCGTCTTCACAAGTTTCTTTGGTTTGAAACAAAATTCTCTAATGGCAATTAACATCGGATTTTCAGGTCGTTTCGAGTAATCGGGACTTGTCATAAACGGCTTCATTGTTTCGCTATTTCAGATGGATATATTTAACTTTCTTTTTATTGTGATGGTCTAACTTTGCATAAAAATTGATATATAGTTACTTTACTATTGTTTAATATAAAAATAATAGTAATTGCAAATAGTAAACTTATAATAATAGTAAAAATAATACAATAGACGGACACTTTTTTCATTATTTGTTATTGGTGGAAATTTTTACCATCTTTTTTAATTTGGAATTTTTATTATAAACAAATAATAATTATTATTATATTTTATTATATATTAATAAAACAATAATAAAAAAATAAAATATAATTATTAATAAACAAAAGAAAATATACTAATATACATGGTTTATTCTATTAATTATTTTACTAGCAATAATTATAAAGATATTTAATTTTATAGTAATAGAATTTGATTAGATTAACTCTTCTTATAATAAAATTTAAATGATAAAATATTTATTATTAAATAATAATAAAACATTGTGATGATAATATTAAATAGATTTAGTTTTACTAAAAATAAATAACAAAATAAAAAACGTAAAAAGTTGGTCTTTTTAAGTTGTTTTTTTTTAAAAAGTTGTTCTTTTTGCAAAAAATATTGAACATATCATTTAAAAAAGTGGGTTTTAGCTCAATTTTATAAAAATGGTAAAAAAGAATTAACAAAGATTCTCGAAAATTTGAAACGAAAAAAATAAACTTTTCAAAAAAACAATAAAAATTAGTTAAGAATATGTTTAAACATTAATTAATTCATAAAAAAATAATAATAAGAAATGTTAATATTTACGACTGGAATAATTACTCATCTTCTTCATCATCATCTTCTTCATCATCTTCTTCATCATCTTCTTCATCATCTTCTTCATCATCTTCTTCGTCGTCTTCTTCGTCGTCTTCATCATCTTCGTCATCCTCGTCATCTTCGAGTTCATATTCGTCGTCATCGTCGTCATCCTCGTCATCTTCCTCATCGTCATCTTCCTCGTCATCCTCGTCATCCTCGTCATCTTCTTCATCGTCATCTTCTTCTTCGTCGTCTTCTTCTTCGTCTTCTTCTTCGTCGTCTTCTTCGTCGTCTTCTTCTTCGTCGTCTTCTTCTTCGTCGTCTTCTTCTTCGTCGTCGTCTTCTTCCTCATCTTCTTCCTCATCTTCTTCGTCATCTTCTTCGTCATCTTCGAGTTCATATTCGTCGTCATCCTCGTCATCATCTTCTTCTTCATCATCTTCCTCGTCGTCGTTGTCTTCGTCATCTTCCTCATCTTCATCTTCCTCATCTTCCTCATCTTCATCTTCCTCATCGTCATCTTCCTCATCGTCATCTTCCTCATCGTCATCTTCCTCATCGTCATCTTCCTCATCGTCGTCTTCCTCATCGTCTTCTTCTTCCTCGTCTTCTTCCTCGTCTTCTTCTTCTTCGTCGTCTTCCTCTTCGTCTTCTTCTTCTTCGTCGTCTTCTTCTTCTTCGTCGTCTTCCTCTTCGTCGTCTTCTTCTTCGTCGTCTTCTTCTTCATCTTCTTCTTCATCTTCTTCCTCGTCGTCTTCCTCTTCTTCTTCCTCGTCTTCGAGTTCATATTCATCCTCATCATCTTCGTCGTCTTCTGCATCCATATCATAATCCTCATCTTCGACTTCAAAGTCATCATTGAGTTCATACTCCTCTTCTTCGGCTCTGACGGCCAAGAACAAAGCTAATAACACAAACAAGAACGCTTTCATAGCTGTAAGAATATGAAATTTCATTTTTTTGTTGATTTAAATAGTCATCATCTCATAATTTTTACCAATCTCAAAATTATTTCCACTTCGAAGCTTCTATTTTTTTGTTAGATTGTTGATTTTTGTCTTGATTTAAACTACTGTTTTTCCCGTTATTTGGTATTTTAATTGATTAATATTGTATATTTTTTTATGTCCTCTTGGCATGTTAATTTTTTTGTGTTTATTTGGTTTTTGTTTTTTTTAATTTTTTTTTTGAATTATCAACTTATAGTCTATAATTTATTCAATTATAAAAAGCTACTACTATTATTTTTTTTTATTTGTTTAATAATGGTTATAATTTGGTAATAAACAATAATATTTGTCCGGCTAAATTACCCGAAAATGTTCGGTTCAAATCACTATCATTTTATCGTGATCTAATCACACAAGTCACCAATTATTTTACCGGCAATTATTATCAATTAACACCACATTTTTTAAAAAATACGTTTTTATTTATTTATTATTATATTTATTACTATTTTTCTTTTGTGTTATAACAAAAAAGAAATATTGGCAAATAACATTAACTTAAAATAAAAAATAAAAACCCACAAGTTTTGCTTTTGATTTTTATAAAAGAATTAAAAACAAATTTAATAACATTTATTAAGTTATACTATTAATTACTACATTATATTAACAATAAACCATCAATCCAAATAAAATTGAGTTTAATTATTTCGAACTCGAAATTGTTTTTAACTAAATAAAATTTCGCCAATTAAATTTATATATTTATATATTAAGTTTAACACCTCAAATTCAAAAGTGTCAATCATTGTTATTTTAATAAATATTTGGTTATTTTGTATATAAAATAATTTAGTTGTTTTAGTTTTGATTTAATTTTATTATTAATACAATAACTAAATTATTATTATTATATATTATTAAATATTTTTATATAATTGTAATTGAAATTGTATAACCAGAGGTTTCCAAAATCACAATCCTAATTACTCACGTCACCATTTCATAACCAAAATGATCATTTTCTCTTATAAATTCGTACGTTATAATACCACATTTTCGGCAATAATTATTTTAGAAATTTCTGTGTATAATACACATTATTATTTTATAATAGTTATCATTATAAAAATCCAAACCTTTAATAAATATTATGAATTATTATTATTTTAATTTAAATTGAACTTAAATGTTTAAGTTATAAAATAAGATATTCTTTCTGTGTTTTAAAAAGTTTTTTAATAATTTTAATTTTTTTATAAGGCATTAAAATTATAAATTATAATAAAACAAGAAATACACAATTGACCCAATTATTTAAATTGGGTTAATAAATTCATTTTAAAATTTATTTATTGAATGAGTTTCATTCAATAAAAAAACAATTATTTTTATTTTGTTAATTTATAGTTTCGTAAAATTTATACTTTTATAAATTTATAATTAAAAAATCAACTATTCGAATTATTCAAAAAATTTGTTATTTAAAACAGTTTCTTTTTTTTTAAATGATTTTTTTTTTGAAAAAAATGTTCATATATTTCGAATAATAAAAAACATAATATAAATTTAGTAAAATATAGTTTCAGATAATGATTTTCAGAAAAAATCAAGAACTTGTAAAACGTAATATTTTTTGGAGAAGAATGGTATTTCTCTTTCTTCTTTTTGCAAGCGCGTTCTCCCAAACACAGACTCAAAAATTTGGTCCCCAGGGAATGCAACCAACGGGGATACACCCAACAACTGAGGAAGCCATGAGATATCGTGAATTGTTAGAAAAGCAAGATGCCGACCAAATTAAAAGCCACCTTCAAAACCGTGCACAAACCATCGGAGAAAACTTCGACAGACAGTTCAAAAACCGAAACGAGCTCGAAATGCATAGACTCAGAATGGGTAATTATAAAGAAAAGGATAACTACAGGCGAAAATTCATACAATTCATCCGTAACGATCCGTACCAAACACACGTCAAAGAACTCACCGACCACGAGAAGGAGGACCTTGAAAATTTCAGAAAGTTTATGAAAGCAGCAGACAAACCTTTCAGTCTGAACCAATTCTACGCAATGACAAAGCGAAAAGAGAACACCGATATGTATGGCAATGTCGGGCTTAAGATGAATGGATGCGATGGTGTGTTCAACGGACAACCAGGTTGGTACGAAAAGCGGATTGAATGGCTTTCCAAGGTAGGACCAGGTCTCGACGAACCAAAGAAAGGGTACCTAAATGATAAATTCTTCATATATAACGACGATAAACCCCAGAGCTTCATCGGCAAGAACGCCCCCGTTGTGTTTGCTCATTAAATTCAAGTCTTTTATGTTTTTTCTTTCCACCACTTTCAATCCACCAAAACAGATAATCTTAAACATAATAGTTAATAGTTTTAAATTATAGTTTCTCAATTTAATTGGTGAAATCTAACAGAATTCAAATGAGAAGACAAATCAATCAGTTTCAAGGCGGAATGTAAGCACATTTAACCCTGCCAATTCCAGAGATTTGCAAAAAAAGATATGATTGGGTTTATGATCGACTCCATTATTGTTTGTGTTGGTCTGAGGGTATTCATATCCTTTGGAGGGATTTCTCCATAGTTCTCGTTCAACCCGACAATTACACAAACCTTTCCTCCAACCTCAATACTACCCCTTGCGAACAAAGCGCTTGCGCTGCTCTCTTTGTCATAATCAATTTTAACCCCAGTGTCTTTCCACTGTGAGATCCCTATTATAGTACCAAACCTCTCTAACATTGGAAAGAGCTGGTTTATCTCCGCAAGTCGAACATCTTTAATTACTACAGATCTCCGATTTGTAAATAAGAACCCTTCTTTATTGACCACAAAGTTGTTGGCAGTTTCAAAACGTGGTAGAAAGATGGGTTGACCTGTCGACATCCGACGAGGTTCTTGATTTTTTCTGAGCGAATTAAACGTTGATTGTTCGTGATTTGATAACACTTTCTGTAAATTGGTGATGAGTTAAGAATAATACAACAAACTTTTTTATTTTTTTCAGTTTTTTCTCTTTTTTTCTTATTTTTTTTGTTTTGTATGATTTAAAAAAAAATACAGTATAATCCGGGTTTAATTCCAGTCCGGGTTTAATTAAATAATCGGGTTTAATTCATTCGAAAATAATTAAACCCGAAGTAAGAAAAAATAATAAAAACAACACTTTTGAGTTTTATTATCATAGCCTTGTTTTTTTTTTGTTTAAATTTATGTAAAATAATTGGGTTTTCACCCAAATTAATCAGAATATTTGTTTTTGAATAAAAATGCATTATTTTTGTTTCTGGATCTATTTTTCGGTACTATAATATTATAAATTACTTATTATAAAATAATGAATAAATAAAAACAAACATAATAAACTAAAGTTTTTATTCGGTTTTATTTTATTAAACACACTTGTTTCACCACCACCTTAACAAAGTATTTGCCGCGAGTATTTTTTGAAGGAAGTCCATCTTTAAGTCACTGTTTGTGCGTCCCTATGTTACCACTTTCCTCTTCCGTACTTTGAACGCTGATGTGGTTCCCTTTTCAAACGGGGCGTTCATTGGGATCTGTGCTAAGGAGGACATTGAGAGTATGTGGAACGGGTGCACAAACAGACCGTCTGTGCCTTCTTTTTGATTATCGTCTCACTTGGTTTCCACTGTTTCGAGGTGAATTATCGACACATTTTTAATTCGGGAACCAGACCAAATATTATCCCAAGCTCCCAATTACTATAATTTTAATTAAAATATTATATTAAATAGTTAAAAAAAACTTTATTTTTAGAGACGATGAAAAAGTATTTACCATCATCATTTGTTTTTGATTGAATCAAATAATTATTAAATAATTATAACTATGAAACTATCGAAGGTTAATTCCATCAATTATTTTTGTTTTAAAAATCATTTCAAATAATTTTCTTGAAAAAAGTGGAATTAAACCCGGATTATACTGTATTATTCTTTTTAAATTATATTAAAATCAATATCTTTACTAATATTTATTATAGCATAATTATGGTTTACCAAATCATATATAAACATATAAAAATAATTATTATTCCAACTTTATTGAAACTTTATACTTTTATTATATGGTCAGCCTAAAAATGTTGTGAGCTCTCTTTAAAAACCATTTAAACTGTTTTAAACATATTTTCGAAACCGTTCAAAACATTGTTTCAAATTTTTTACCTGGTTTTCAACGTTTTTTCCTAATTCCTATTTTTTGAAACTTATTTTGTGTAAATTATTGTCAAATGGACAACGTTTTAGACAGACTTTGGTATTGTAAATGTTTAATAGATATTTTTATTGTATATACCATTAATTATTATTAATAAAAATAAAAGAACTTATAATCAATTACCAATTAAATTATAAATAGATACTATTAATTTGATTATAAGAATGTGTTCCTCTTTGAATTTCAAATAGTCCTGATTGAAGAAAAAACCCGATTTAATAAATAAATAAACACCATTTGAATTGTCTCTTTAATAGCTTCTAAACCATTGTAATTATCTTCTTATTCAAAACTGGATATAAAAAACATATGTCGGATCCTTACCAATTTTCTTTCAAGCCTATCAAGAAATACTCAACAGTCAATTTTTACTCTCCTCTTTCTGCCGAGGCTGAGGGTCAACGTCAAAACCCCAACGCTCAATATCAACAGCCAGCTCAAGTCTATTCTGATCAATCACGCAACGTTCCAATGTATTCGTTTGCTGCATCTACACCGACTCACCCTTCTCAACAATACCAAACCCAACCGTCTTTCCAATCGCTTAGTGTAACACAACAAATGACTACATCTTTCCCACAACAAGATCAATTAAAACAATATAAAGAATACGAATCTCCCTTCGATAGAACATGTGAAGTTAATGGAATGACCCAACAAAACACTTTAAACCAAACTTCGGTCCAAAATGAAATTTCATTGGACGGTTTAGACACACAAGATCCTCAACATATTAATCCCCTCGAATTCTTTCAAAGAAATTTCACGAGCTTCGACCCTATCTCATTCTCAATCACAGACTCTTTCTTGGCTATTTGTAACACTCAACAAGACGAAACTGATGCTAAACGACTGAGTTACACAACGGCACTGACTAAAGTGACGAGATACACAGTAAGTCCTTTAGACTATAAATACACCCCATCGTACGTCCTTTCCCCGGACGATATTTATCTCCGCGTGATGGTGGACTACGCTCAGAATTTGAGAATTAAATACCCATTTCCTCTCAGGCGCGCGCCTCTATTAAATAAGTTAGCGTATATGGCAGTTATTAATAAATTACTTTCTACATACAACGACGCGATGCGTAACAGTTCATTAATCGCAAAATTCTCATTCCACGACGTTTCTTTCAAACCAATAACGCCAGAAGCTCGAACGACTGGTCCAAATGAAGTCACTTTGATCTTTAAGAGTGACTTAACTGTAAACAAACTCTTTGAACTGTTAGGTGTGACGAGTACTGATGCTGTCTTAGCCATAGAAGACACCACGGCGATCTTCTGTCGAAAAGATATAGTCATTCAAAGTCAATATATTTACGATTGTGTGACACATAATACTCTCCCTACTTTTGCGGTCAAAAAGTATTCGAAAATGTTTTACCCACCAAAGCAAAGTTTGAAGAAAGAGATCGTGCAGTACTCGTTCCAAGAGATGCCAACGTCGATGACAATCACTTCGTATTTCTCCTTTGATTTCAATCAGTTTTATTATACTCAAAGTGATGTCGGGGATATTTGTGTTCGCGCAGTGCTGCGGTGTGGTGAGCAGATTTTAAGTCCGATCTTCAGTGAGACGTCGACGCGGAATTTCAGTCGGGTCTCTGCGTTCTCTCCGAGTGATAGTGAGTATGTGTATGTGGTCAACTTAGGGATATCGATCCCCACACAAATTCAAATCAGAGAACTTCCTCTTGATACTCAAATAGTCATCCATGTCATCTCTTCCAAGAATGAAACAAGCTTAGGTTGTGCCAATTTCAATTTATATGATCAGTGGGGAGTGTTTAAAACAGGGAGACATGTGTTACGATTAGAGTCCGGGAAGATCCCCGCAGGTACAGTGATGACACATGGTCCTTTGTTATTCATCGATGTGAAAAACATTAGATGCGCGTATCATATCGACGGTATTCCAGACGAAAAATTGATGACTACAACTCGCACAATCGAGCCATGCACGGTCGCGACAAATCGAATTCAGTTTGAGGAATCCGCACAAGTCGATGACCTAGCGAGTATATCGAAGATCAATCGCGTCGTCAAGAAGACACTTCTAATCGGTGAGACAGATGTCTTCGAGATCCTCCGGTCCCCTATTTATATCACAAAAAGTGCACCACCAAAGATGTCGGAGATCCTCGTCAAAGAGATGGAAAACATCCCCGCCGAGTTTTTGTTACATGTCGCCCATGCGATTCATTGGAGTGATCGGAAAGAGGTTGGGAGGTTCATCACGTACATGTGGACATTAGATCTCAAAATGACGGATGCGGTGATCATGTTAAGTTACAGATGTCCATATCGAGCAGTTCGCGAGTTTTGTGCTTCTATTATAATGAAGCAGAGTGACGAGGTCTTAGCTTTTTATGCAGTACATTTGAGTGAAGCGTTACGATTTGAAGAAGGGTTGACTGCATTAACAGATGTGTTATTGAAGCGATGTGTGAGGTCACCAGCAACAGTAGGGTATTGGGTCCTCCGAGCCATATGTGGGGATTGTGACATGACGTGTCGACACATTCAACATGCAAGATTTATAGAAGCTTTATTAAGTGCAGATCCTGTCTTTGCGGAGTATATCAGTCAAGAGGAAGTCCTCTTCTGTAATCTTCAAAGTGTCAACGCGACTTTAATTCGAATGGGGAGTGACAATAGGAAGACTCTTGGTGTTGCTGTCCTTCAAAAGATATGCAAGACATGCCCTGTCCCATTTTTCCCTGGTACAAAAGGGATGTTAGAGAGTAGTAAGATGAAGGTGTTTACGTCGAATGCGTCACCTATAATGGTCGACTTAAATGGGAAGAAAATGATTTTCAAACTTGGCGATGATTTGCGCCAAGACTGTTTGATTCTGCGTGCATTCCAATTGTTTGATGACATCTGGAAGAATGAAGGAAAGGATTATCGGATGAGTCCATTCCGAGTGATTTCCTCTGGGAATTTAAGTGGGTTAATTGAGTTTGTTAAAGACTCTCGAAGTCTTGGAGCGATCCACAATGAAAGTAAGATCCCCGGTGTCTTCAAAGTGACGAGTATAAGTGATTGGATACGAGAGAATCATAGTGCTCCAATAGAGCAATGTGTAGATAATTGGTATTGGTCATTAGTAGGGTATTGCGTCGCTTCTTATGTTCTGGGTTTAGCAGATCGGCACAACGACAACATTTTAGTGGACAAGTCGGGGCACTTTTTACACATCGACTTTGCTCACTTCTTAGGAAACAAATTGAAGGTGGCGGGGGTGATTAATAGAGAGCCCGCTCCTTTTGTCCTTACTCGAAGTATGTTGTTTGTATTTGCTGGAGAATCCGGAACTGCATTTTACGATCAAAAGTACTCGGAATTTTGTGACGACTGTGTGAAAGCGTATTCCATCTTGCGCAACAAAGCGAGTCTTATTGTCTCCTTCTTCACTAATGTTTGTTCCTCCCCATTGAACTATTAAAGTATAATTTGTATATGAGTAATATAGAATTTGTTTTGAGTGTGAAGTGACGAAGACAGATGATCACCAGTAAACTGTCGCAGTTAAGTGAACTGAAAGACGCGGAGTACTTATATGAGTCGTTGCAGATAGGGAAGGAAGATAGCATAGCGAATGGGTTCTTTGTCTCATTAATCAACGAGAGTTTAAATTCGGAAGAAACGAACGTGAACTTCTTCATTCATTCTCTTGTGCAAAAGTCGAAGAAATAGATTTAATACCATTAATTCTTGTTTGGTTGTTCATTTGGTATCAAATAATAACAAAAAGTAATGAATTAGTACACACAACCTCCTTCTTTCAAATTTGGCGGCATATCAAAGATGATGTTAGTCCCACAAGTCTCTTGTTTCATAGCAGTCGATGGGCATTCAATGAAGAATGGATGCATCTTATCTGCTTTGTTAACATTGGTGCACGCTCGTAACTCAGACAAGTGTCCTCCTGAACAGACAAAATACAATGGGTTGTCCACACCTACTTCTGCTGTAATTAACCCTCGTAACCACTCTTTTGAATACCCAGTCGAACCATCGGGTAATACTCCATTCGCTTTAAAGATCTTCCAAATGTCGTATGTATTCAAAAAGTTCATAGCAGCCATAGCATAGTCTTTCACACCAGTCGCACCGTCGTAGATATTAGTCAAACAAGTCCCATGCTTGTCATACTCATAATTGAAGAATTTGCATTTCGAAAGTGATGCCCAATTCAGACTCAGAGCTTCCATAAATTCAGCATCGTTGTCTATGGTCTTTTGAACCTCAGCATCGGTGTATGGTGATGTGCAACATGATGGATACCCATTTGATACAAATTCGGGCCACCACCCATGCATAGTGAATCCGTCTCTCATCATCATTGTTGTCTTTGGCAAGTCACAACACTTCGATTTGCAGAAGTTGCCAGGCCAAGTTTGAACGTGGAGAACATAGTCCCACGTCACTTTCGCTTTATTGCTCGAACACATCGCAAAATCGGAATGCGAACATTTCGATAAAGCAGTGGCTACCAAGAGGAAGACCAGCATTCTTATTGTTGAAGAGTAAATGCTTCATATCTATTTATAGGAAGAATCAAAATTTAGAATCATCTTATAGTTACAATATATAGTTTCATGTATTATATCTTTTGATTTTTAAGACGCTAAAAATAATATGGATCAGTTTCGAAATTCCACCAACAAATTTCAGAATGTATTTTTGTGTTCTTGCAAATATAATTTTATTATACATATATAGTTTATTTAATTAAAATATCAATTGTTTTTTTTGAATCATTCATTATTGTCTTTTTTAAGTCTTCTCTATATTTGCTCTCAAATTCTTTAGTTTTAAATTAAAAATGTATTAAACATAATAAATTAAAAAATTGGTGATCAAAGAAAAGTAAAACCTTTTGGAATTGTTGATGCAATTAAAAAAATTTTCAATTTTTTGATAAAAAATAAAAAAATGCATTAATTAAGATTACTACACTAAAATAATAATATAAACTATATAGTTAATTCATTCCAACGATAACTATAAATAGTTATAACTATATTAATAATATAGTTAAAACTTGATTTTTTAACGGAATTAAAAAATCAATAAACTTGTTCAAATTTCAAAGACTAATTCATATAGAGTCCGATATAGTCACGCCACTAGAAAAACAATACAATACTAGTAAAACAACTAAACGCGTATCCCATATCATTTAAATCAATCAACCTTTGTTTTTGTCATAATCCAAGTTCTTTGATGACTCTAGCGCAGAGCCTAAAAGCCTGTTGTGTAGTTGAGCACGTGAGCATAAATCCCGAGTGATGACAGAAATAGACGCCTTCCTCACCAACAGCATTTTCCAACTCTTCATTCTCAAGCCCTCTCCAACTCTCAGGAAAAGCTGCTCTATTCACAAATACTGATTCTGGTGATGTTACTGTTCTAATAGTAACTCTTGCTTTCCCCTCTCTAATATAAAATAAGAAGTTTCCGAGTACTCCCAGTTTGTTTTCAATACTTTGAATGTAAGCGACTTGTATAAATCCAGACACAAGTAGTATTCTTCTTTTCTCCCCGTTGAATGTCAATGCCTTTTTTGCATTATAAAGGGTCTGTTGATAACATTCAATTGACTGGACATGTGCATCCATTTCACTGATAAACGTCGACGCCGTTTCTTCGACTTCCTCCACAAAATTTTCATTCTTCATTTCTTGTGCAGACATCAGTCGAAAGCTATCTGTCGGGTTTAAGTACAACGGCGTTTCATCAAATTTACTAAATCCATTTGTCATCGCATCAACCGGTTCGATGAGGCTTTGATAAATGACGTCTTTCGCGACATTAAGTAATTCATCCGACACGTTCATATCAAACTTTTCACTGAGCGACACTAACACACTCTTCACTATCTCTTTCCCAAATCGCTTGAATACCATCCCCGCACTACTCATCGGGTACTTCGATTTATTCGAAAACACTTCTTTGAAGTCGTGCTGGTGATAGTCGAACCGTAAAGTGTCAGCATTATACATCCCGCCATACCCTAAGACCATGTCACACCCATTCATGTCTTCTTTTGCTTTAATAAATCGAATTTCGGACTTCGCGAAATCACGCGTGCGACGGAGAAGAGACACCGCGAGGATTGTGTCGAAGTTGTACGACATGCCGTTGATCCCAACGATTCTTTTACCCTTCGATATCTGTTGCGGGCGAAGGGTTTGTTTCTTTGCGCCGTACCTCTTTGCCTTCACTTGTTGCATTTACTCTTTTCAAGTTCACTTGGATACAGATCAAATAACAAAAAAGAATAACATTACCATTAAGGGATACGAGAGAGGCATGAACGGATGAAGAACCTTGGGAAGACTAACCATTGGTTTAACCACACTGATCTATTCAACAACAACGTGTAATTCATTCCATTCCTTTGCACCTGCTCGAGTAAAGTCAAGAACATGTCACACTCCGTGAAGAAAGAGGTGTCGATGTCTGAGATATCGAGTGAGAGAATCGACGTGTAGGTCTTCGCGAAAAGAATTGTCTTGTCGAAAAGTGGTTTATCGAATCCGTTAAAGTAGTTGTAGTACATCGAATGAAACAGTGGATATGATGTTATTGTTGGATTTGTATCCACAAAGGTTTGAAATGCATTTAAGTCCAAAAGAGTCATTCCATAATAATTACTATAATGGTGTAACCGATTATCTAACTCCATCAAGTGAGTGATATCGTCTTGAGTAGATGAGCCAAAGCCAAAGTTGGTGTATTGGTGGAATTGTATTCCAAGACTTAATGGTTGTTGAAGTGTAGTTAATCGTTCCTCCATCATCTTCTCGATGTCTGTGACATCATTCGTAGGCGGTATTAATACTAACTTATAATCATTCATTTTCTCAATGAATGTCTGATTCTCTGAAACGTTCATATCGAGGTAATAAAACGGTACTACAAACTCTAATTGATCATTTGTTAAGTAAATCTTGACCGCACTCAACATCGATTCCCAACAATCCCATGTGGTATATTCAGTCGGAGACCAGACTGAAAGAACATGGGGAAACATATAGATGTTCATGTTATAGGAATTAACTATACTGAATAGTATCGTAGAATAGAAAAGTATACATCTCATCAATACAATCTCTTCTGTCTTATTTCGTTTCCTGGACAAATTGAATAACATTTGAATAACATTTGAAAAAGTGCAAAAAAGTGGTGATGTTTTAGTGTTTTGTGAAGGAATAGTTGAAAACTAGATGGAATAGTACATTTTTAGTTAAAGAGTTTTTTGTTGAGAAAAAAAAACTGAAAAGAAAGAAATTATGGCGGAAGCACAAAGCCAAAACGAAATTCAAAATGCCAAAGATTTACGTGACGAAACGGTATCCGATGTTCCTCAAGTTGTTTTAACACAAAACGAAAATGTTGTCAATGAGCAACAATTTGACATTGATCAACGAAATGATCCCGAACAAGAGATTGACCAAAACGAACAAAGAGAGAACCAACCGAAACGTACATTATTTATAGAAGTGAGTCAAAGCACGAAAGAGCCGTGTAAAAACATCCAAATAGATAACATAGATTTCAACAAAACGACAATTTTGAGTGTTAAAAAAGCCCTTCACAAATATCATTCCCTTCATCCTCGAATTCAAGACATTCAACTCACTCTAAATTCCAATGAAAACATGCCCCCATTATTAGATGATCAACTCTTGTCATCGGTTGGGGATTTTGATAAATTGTATGCCAAATTTTGTATATCAGAAATCAATCTTATGTATAAAAAGTTGTATGACACATACCTTTCTGGAATGTTTGATTTCATTTACAAATATATTCTTAACTATACTTCAATAGGACTTTTCCTATTCTGGATGTTACTTGGTAAATCACTACCTCAAAAGATACTCTTGGGGGTCTTATTCATTCTTCACTATCTCTTTTTAAAAGAAGTCATTCCTATTAAGTTCTCTTATAACAAATTAACCGATTCAAAATACAAACCAATCCTCACATTCTTTTTATCAATCTACCCACTCTGGGATTGTCACAACCCACAACACAACACTGTCATCGAATTACCAAAACAAGACAACAACGACCAAACACAAGTCAACGACAACAAAGAAGATCAAAAAGATATTAAAGACTCAAGCGATGATTCTTTTGATGATGTTCATGCAGAAGACCAGGAGATAACACCAATACAGAACACTCAAGCGAACAAAACAAATCCAAACAGTAATGAAGAACAGTGATTCGTTGTTGTTCTGTTGGCTCATTTTACTATATTTTAATAACAATTTTACTATATTTATATTATAAAGACCGGTGTGCACTAACTTGGAATGCACTTGGAGACACATATCGGAACGATAAAGTATACCAAGTGTTATTCGATACCGTTAAAAAATGCCGATAACCAGAAGACTAAAATAGGAGAGTTACAATACAATCAAAGGTTCTCTCTGACGAACGTGCCGAACGTACTTTTTGTGAAGTAGGCGACAATTTCAATTTCTTCCTTGTTGAGTTTGAAGCTGTCAATGAATTGATCAACGATCTCGACTTCCCCCGTGACTTGCACACAATTCGCTTTTTCTGTCAACAGCTCAAAATCGACTTTGTTGAGCTTCCCGACCATTGTCGAAAAGCGCGGAAATTGCATCGGTATAAACACGACGATTTTGTATTTGGTTGTGTCGGGCTTCTGCGGCGAAAACTCACTCTCTGTCCCACTTAATATTGTGTTGCACCGCTTCTTTGGAAAATGCCTCCGACCCACCTTTGTTTCTTTTTGCTCTTTCAGTTCATTATCTTTTTGTTCTGTTAATTCGGTGCGTGGTGTGATTGGATGAAACAGTGGATTGATCTTCCCTTTTTTAACGTTGTGCAGATCCAACTTCTCGACTTTGCTTTCGGGGTGATCGACTCTCCCAATCTTCTCGTGCATTGAAAACGCAAACGGTGCTGTTTCTGTTGGGTTGAAATTGGGTTTTGGTGGGTTCATAGTTTTTGGTTGGAAGATGATGATTGGTGTTTCCGTCTCGTTCTCAATTTCAAACTCTTCCATGACCCTCCAATCAGGGTATCGGAGTAAAAGCCTTTCATTTTTAATAACAGGGTATTCAACGTCATATCTTTTATGTAAATGAAGTCTTCGTTGTGGTGGATACAAGTGTGCTTCTTTCAAAAACGTCTCGGACTCTTCGTTCTCTTTGATCACCGAGTGCTCCGCAACACCAATGATCCGCTCAACTTGCTCACAATATTTCTCGCACGCTTCCATCTCGCTTTGTTGCGATAAAGATCCCTTCCAGATGTACAATGTCCCCTCCATTGTAAATACAACAAAACACCCTCGCGAGTCAAACAACGAATCAAGTGGAATGTATGGCGAATCCCCCGATGAGAACATTTGAAGTGTCGTTCTATCCGCAACGAATGACGTTTCCGATCCAACAGTCAAGCAGTGTGCGATGTACAATGGAAATATCGATGAGTTGACATGTCGCCGGAGTTTGCAGTAAACGCAGTGGAGTGGCTTTTTACTTTTTAAAAGCTCTTGAAACAGTTTGAGTTGGCACTCAAAGCTAATATTAGGGCATGCAACTTTACGACGCGTTTTCACATAAGCCAGTGCTTCTTCAAATGACATATGTTGCTCATACATGAAATACGAGAGTACCAACGAGACACTTCGACTAATCCCGGCATGGCAGTGTACCAAGCATTTATTTGTTGGACTTTCCCTTCGTAATTTCGTCATGAAGTCGATCGAATGGAAGATGAAACTCGACAAGTCTTGTTCGGTGTCATCACTCATATCAAACGCAAGATATTTGAATTTCTGTGGAAACCCCATTTTTGCGACCGCTATCGCTGCGTTGATGACGTACGTGATTTCTGACTTCTTCACATTAGTCTTTCCTTCTTTGTGTTCCCCTTAAGTAGAGTTGAAATAACATTTTCAATAACAAAATTACAACGAGAAAAAGAAAAAATGACAAACCTCGAGAATTTCAGGTTCGGACGCCGTCGTTTCGCCGGAGATAAAAAGCCAATCTTCGATTTCACTTAACTCTTTTCGATTGATACGATGACTTGGGGGTAACGTATTTTCGGGATCTTCATTCAGGGTTGATTGCTGGATATCTTGAGCCTTTGCGAGATTGATTTTCATTTTTGTCAAAACGATCTTTCGTTTGTGCTGCTTTTCGGCAAGGCTCATCAAAACTATAAAATTTGAAGATCTACAGATACAAAATATGGCCGCACTTTTGGGAAACCCCCTCACCGTTCCGACCAAAAGCACTAAAACTAAATTTTCATCTCAAAATAAATTTCTTTGCGTTTGTTAATTATTGTAGAATGCGGCAACTAATTATCGCCCATTGTTGTATCTCAAATCGTCACCTTTCACTCAATCTCCCTCAAGACGGCCGAAATCTCGTCGGGTGAGAGCCCTTTGACGACTTCTGATTCACGACGGGACATGATTTTTTGGGCGGAAAGAAGCGACCGAGGTGCAAGAACTGGCATCGAAATATCACAGTAATAGTCCAAGTGGAGGAGATTCCACGCAAACTGGTCCATAGTAATAATCTCAAACGAACGAGCGCCGGTCCGCACCTTCAACGGTCGGTAATCATAGTAAAGCGGCTCGAGGAATAAGTAACACTCCTCCGACGAACTGACTAAACGGAGATATAAAGCGGCCACAGCTCGAACGTACTTGAAGTTTGCATTCCGAAGCATTTCATAGACGATCTTCCGATCTGGCCTGATAGTAAGGAGTTTCAAAACTAAAGTGATGTATTTTGTTGGCTTTTTCATCACTCCATATGTGCCTCCAACCTCTTTTAACCCAACCATTTCGTCTAAAATTGTGTCCGAAGTTAATCCAAAGCATCGCTCTTTCCAGTAAACACTATTATATATTTTATTCCTCAGTATTGTCTCAACACGTCGTTCCACTCCTGTCATCACTTTTTCTCTTTTTTCTCAATCTTCGTTGTTTTATTTTGACCTTTTGCTCCACAAAGATTTTGTATTAATTTTACACTACTACTTATAGTTATTTTTAATACTTTTATGTATTATTACTTTTAATTATTTTACTTTTATTACTTTCAATGACTTCATTATATAGGTTTTTATTAATACAGTGAATGACGCTAAAACTTGGAGTCAAAAACCCTTTAAAATTAGTATCAATAGTTTTTATTAGTATTGAATGTAATAGTAAATTTTATAATAAAAAAGTTATTAGTGAATGGTAACGAGACAGAACAAGAAAAACTTCAACACGTCAATTTTGTCAACTTTTAGAACGCGATTTTCTCCTGGAACTTCTTAGCGTTCAACTTCTTGAAAGCTCTGAGTTTGTTCAAAGTGACTTGTCTCTTTGCGGACAAAGTGCAAGTCTTCTTGATCAAGTTCTTTGGTACAACCTTCTTGACCTTCTTTCCGTCCTTGTCGATTTGGTTCTTAGCATAGATGACTTCGTTGATCTTCTTGAGTGCCTCTTCCTTAGCGGCCTTGACCTTCTCATAAGTTTCCTTTCCTTTAGCGACCTTGAATTGGTGTGCCTTCTTCAACCCTTGAATTCTCATTGAAGCGATTTTGCAGTATGGGTTCAACTTGACCATAGCAGCCCAGTTCTTCAATGGGTTTCTTCTCTTCAAAGCAACAAGTTGTTCTGGTTTAGCTCTCAAGATCTTTGCCTTCTCAGCAGCACCAATAACTCTCTTCATATCTGGGACAGCGGCTTGTGCCTTTGGTACTCTGAAGCCCTTCTTTCCTTGTGCCATAGCTTTCTGTGTACCGAAGATGTAGTTAAGTCTCTTGAATGCGCTCTCAGTCCAAATGATGAATCTTCCCATATGTCCACCTGGGGCAAGGTTCAAGACAGAAAGGTTGTCAACATTGCATGAGTCAACACCTGGGATGTTTCTGAAGGCTCTAATAGCTTGAGCTTCGTCGTTATGATAGACAACAAGTGGGCCCTTTCTGACCTTGTGAAGTCTTCCTCTCATCTTTCCTTGACCCGCTCTTGAGGTGGCTGATGCAATCACTTTCAAGACATCTGGATAAGCTCCAATCTTCTTCAACATGTAAACGGCTTGTTTAGTCCTTTTGATGACAGAAATGCTCTTTGAGTTCAAAACAAGTGGAATTTGGGAAACACCAGCAATATGATGTCCTCTAGCAGTGACCATAGCTGGAATAGCTGACGCGGCAATGCATGAAGCAACAGCGTATCTTCTAATTTGTTTTGGGGTCTTCTTTTGCCACTTTCTGTAGACTTTGAGTGGGGAGTACATGTGACCCTTTCTGCACATGTTACCAAAAGCACCTTGTCCATTACGGCCAGATCCAGAACCACTAATTCTTGGAATTCTAGCAACGGCTCTCCCAGTTCCCCATGAGATCGCTGAATGTTGTTTACCAGCCTCGGTGCTCACCGCCTCCGGGTGACGGGCATTTTTGTTTTGGTTTGTGAAGACGAACTGAAACATGTCGTTTCGGACGGGAGCCAAAAACACGGCTGGGATGCGGCACGGAGTCTTCTCGGCTTCACCTGTGATACCATCATTAATTGTAACTAATGGCCCTGAGCTCATATCCCAATGCCTTTAGGTTTCTAGTACTTCAAAATGTAATTTTTTTCAGGGTTTCTCCTCCCTCATACTTTTT